ACCCGATTTGAGTCAAGAAAAGACATCATGGGGAATGTGACGGCCTGGCTGATCACCATTCCAAAAGACGTGTTCCAGAAGAGTTTCCAACAATGGTGGAAGCGCTGGGAGAAGTGTGTGCATTACCAAGGAGACTAGTTTGAAGGATTAGGGTTTTGTACCTCCAAATCAATAAATGTATTTCTGCCGACCAAAGGTTCGAAACTTTTTGAACACACCACATATATATAGCAACCCAGAGTCCCATGTGGTGTCAAAGGCTTTTTCAATGTGCAAGAACACCGCAGCTGTAAACATTTTATTGTTGAAATTAAGAGTCACATGGTCTGTTAGCCTCAGACATTGCAGTGTCGTGCTGTGATGTGCGTGGAAACCAAACTGGCCTGCGTTTAGTAGGCCTCCCTCTTCAGTGTGCTTTTGGACTATTTTCAGAATAACTTTTTCAAAGAGTTTGCCTGTTGTGGACAGAATACTAATCAGACACAAATTTTGAGGGAATTTTGGGTCCTTACCAGGTTTCGGTAAGGTTATGACTTTTGCTTCCTTCCTAGAACTTGGAAATTGAGACAGCCAAAGGCAATGATTGAATAAATGAGTCAAGTGTACCAACGGCTGCCTTAGAAGGTGCCTTAGGTATTCATATGGAATGCCATCAATTCTGCATGCCTTTCTCAGTTTCAAAGAATTTATTAATTTCTGCAAGTCACATGGTCTTATCCTCTGAGTGGGGGCTGTTGTCTATGTCTTCGAGTAGAGCTTGACTTCTAGCCTTCACCCATTGTTCACAGTTTTGATCACACAGATTATGTGGTGTGAAGTGAGTTTCCAAACAGTCAGCATTTGCACTGACTTTTTTTTTAGATAGATGAAATTTAAGGCCTGACAAACCATGAACAGCAGTTGGTTCCCTTGGTCCATCCCTCTTTATGAAGATTTCACAATGAGCCACGTAGCCTGAGGTGTGACTTTAGTCTTCCCTATCTTTGTTTCCCACCATTCAAGAGTCTCTTTACTACGAGTCACTCACCTGACTGATTTCGAGACCCAATTATCTGCCGTTTTATACACTGGACTGATAGTTTCTTGCCACAATTTTCACAGTCTCTGCTTATGTTTTAACAAACAATCTAGCCCAGGAAGATCATTGTTTAAGTTCAAAAGTGTAACTTTATTTGTCAACAACATATATGCAGAAGCAACAGAGGCTCTAAAGTTACACACTTCATTGGCTTCTACCCCCAAGTTAATTTCTATTTTCAATTATATTAAACCAGAGGCGAGGCTTTGAAACCTATTCAAATCTGTGAATTTCTCAAGAGGTTCTGAAAAATTCCTAATTTTGACATGATCCCATATGTGGAATACTACTGGTAGGTGATCTGAGACCAAAATATCAGAGACAATAACATCTGACACACTGATGTTTTTGTAGATCACAATATGCAGCACATCACCATTCCCCACAGGGAATAATGAGTAGCGCACTGTGGTGCTGAAATTTTGAATTTATTCAAATCAAATAAGTCCATGAGTTTCTTGCCTGAAGGATTTGAAACTGTACTATTCCAAAATGGTTGCTTATCATTCAGATCACCAGCTAGGATAGATTTTCGTCTAAAGCTTAAGAGCTCAATGATGTCAGCGTCATTCCAGGCACGGCCCAGAGATTTATAAACAGCTGCAATCAGTATTTCGCTATTACCAATATGTATACAGACCCCTGTCACTTCTACTGAAACAAGGGGTGGTAGGTCTACATGGCTGTGGGGAATGCCTTTCCTAACTGCAACAGCAGTTCTACCTTTTCTGCCCGAATGGCGGTCAGTTCAATAAGTGGTGTGGAATAAAGAATCTCTCATAAGGTTTCAGATGTGTCTCTACGAACAGGGCCACATCTACGTGTAGGTCTTGCAGGTGTTTACTGAGCTCATAGCGCTGCCTCCCAATGCCATTCACATTAAATGCTATGATTTTGAGGGGCCTATGAACTCTAGTGGCCATTTTGTTTCATGAGATTTAATACAATTTAGGTAACATCCACTATTTTGTCCTCCTCAGACACTGCACCAGTGAAATCTGTCAGAATTTGCTGTACTGCAGTTACTATTCTCAACATATTGTCGAGAGGTTGACTGTTTACAACTGCAGCCCGAACTGACTGACCTGTTTCTTGTTGCTGTCCAGGAGCATGGACATTTGGTTTTCCTGCTGCGGGTGCATCTGCCACTGGAATTTGGCATACCTGAGGCCTCTGCTGCTGTGCTGTGCTACGTCAGAGCGCCACCATGAAGGAGATACCCGGAGTAGTAGAGTCTGAGAACAACACCCTTCCCATTGTAGTCTTGGGTGTTCTCTGTGATTTCCTCTTCTGCAGCTCCACATGTCTGCAACCCCGATAATAACCCCCGAAGGGCTTTCTCTCCCTCCGCCAACTGGCAGTTACAGCATGTTGGTGTGGAAACAGTGTTTTCCTTCTGTGGACACTCCATGTGCAGGTGGCTGCCCCCACACCATAAACAGCAGGGAGGCTGTTTGCAGTTTGCCCAAATGTGGCCAAACTGCTGGCAGTTATGGAAATGTGTAAGGCCATTCTGAGCTCTATATGCCTCTACCCTGACTGCAATGTGGCAGAGGGCGGTCAATCAGAAGATCTCTTTGGATTTTGCCGTTCTGGGCAAGGTGATGAGGAACAGGGGGAGGTATTTGGTTCGTGCTTCCTCGGGCAGTGACCAGCGGGTGATGTCATCTCTTTGACATTGATAATGTTAAAGCCTAGACCCATCAGTCCATCAGAGATGTCCTCTGCTGGGGTATTCATAGGAAGGTGGCATATTACGGCCTTGGTGGGTTTTAGGTACTTAGGGTAAAAGGTAACGTAAGGAAGGTTGTGGGTCTTGAGATGGGATATGGCTGCCACAAAATCCACCAAGGTTTCTGTGATTACCCTGGTTCCATTTCTGGTGTTACGGAACTCAAAGTTTCCTTTAATGACACTTTTGATTACCTTTTGCAACTGCATCAGATTATCAGATTAGTGGCAGCTGTTATCACTATTGGGGGTGGCCTTCTACTTTCGCTGGAACTGCCTCTTCTTGTGGTGTAGCCTCCACACTGGAAGAATCAATGTCTAAGGTGGCTGCCCTAAGGGGAGCAAAGAAATTATGGGTGATGACCACCTTTGGGGGGTTGTCTACAGTGTCAAACACTGCAGTCAGCACTGCTTTCTTGGAAGTTGGGGCAGTCTCATCGGTGCTATGCCTCTTTTGCCTCCAAACTTCTTTCAAGCCATTCTCCTGAGTGGCAGCAGACTTTGGTTTTTTAGACTGGCCTGCTGGGTTACTTGCCTTGAGCACAGCCTTTAATTCTTGAAGGGCTACTGTTTATGTGTCAAGAGGGCACTAAATAGGGTCTTCACACTGAGGGCTTTACAGAAGTTTTGTCTGTTCCCCTCTGCCGAGTTTACAATGGCAGACCATTGCTCGCCATCACCCATGGAAGCTGGAGTGTACCCTGCTACATCTGCAATGTTGTCCAGTACTTTGAACAGCTGTTTCAGCTGTGCGTCCACATCAGGAATTGTCCTATTAACCTACAATACTCAGATTTTAAAGCTGAAAGTTCATTTGTCCAAAATGACTGGTATCCTGGCACTGGGACATCCACCATCCTGGCTATGACACTCCATTCATAGTTTGCAGTTTTTCACTCCACTAACTTCATTGAAGAACAATGTCCACCACCAGCCCGCTCAAACTTCTGAGTCAACGTCGAACTCCGACTGACTAGCACTGATTAAGAACCCCCTCATTCAAATGCAATGCTCACTCTTCTCACTGAATGAATCAAACCTGATCTTCTGATCTTCTTGAATAATCACTAGACTCTCTACCTATCTCTGGATCACTCGGAATGAACTCAACTGAACTGTCTCATTCAGTGTGAAACAAACTTGAACCTCACTCTCTCCTCTCAACTCACTGCTCCAGTTCAAAGTCACAGTGTAACGGTCGGTCGGTCAGTTGGTTGGTCAGTCTGGGGCTTACAACCAGATATTTATTATTGTTTGACAGTTCTGGTCTTGTTATTGTGATGTGCACTCTCTGACAAGAGGATGGTTCTATCTTTTGTCAGAGTCACTGTCTGCAGTAGTAAGCCATTTGTCATAATGTAAGGGATATTTACATTGTACATGTTAAACATGTTAATAAGTGTATATAAATTATAAACAGGGCCTCTGTCAGTCCAGGCTTAATACAGAAGATTATGCCCTATTTTTAGCAGCTTCCACTATAACGGCAGTCTAGTCACTTCAACGATCGTATCCTTGACCGCCACCAAGTTTAAGCCTCTTATACTGCCCCAGTTATTCTGGGAATCTCATCATATTGTCGTGGCATGGACCACAGAGAAAACAGTTCTATTGCAAGAATGGCTGCATAACCTAGCAACTGGTAACAGAGAACCCAGTTCCTACTGTTGCTTGGCACACACCACATAAAAAACAGTTTCCCCCTGTTGGGAAGTGTTTATTGAGTGGCTGCCTGGCAATGCTTTGATCAAATCTGTTACAATATTCTAAAACTTAGGAAATGTAGCATTGGTTTTTAAGCAACTGCTGACTAACATCATCTCCAAGACATGACTAACCACGCCATCCATACAGACATACCGTGTCTCCAAGACATTCCAAAGTTTTCTCTTAAACTGTAATAACCCTTGTGATCAACAGATGGCAGTATTATGCTCTTCTGTGGACTTAACTACAGGCATTTCCTGCTATTTAGCTATAGCTATTACTCAAGTGGGGGCTGGGTGCCACTGAAAGCAGTCTTCAACACACCAAGAGTGTGTGTGAATGGGCAGCAATTACACATTTGAACATGGAAAATTTGATGTAATCAAATGTATCAAATCTAACCAATAACCACGCATGTCACCACACTTTCTGTATGTCAACAACTTCTCACATTTCTTTATAACTAAGCAACATATTCACTCACATTTACTTCTGTTCTGTGGAATGGTAACTGGCTGAAGTATGGAGTTTACTCCAGTGGAAGATGCACTAGGACCAGGTGGCTTTGAAGATGGAAGTGATCCAAAAATGTCACCCAGAACTTCTACATTTGATTGCTTATTTCCTGTGGTGCTGACATTTAGCTGACTAGTTACTGACGGCTGGGAAGCTGCATCTAAACCTGAGGAACATTACAAACATCTAAATTTAATTTTCTCTTCTTGATATGTTAAGAACATCTGCCAGAGCTAAGATCATACACTGTCAAATGACAGGATGACACACAAATAATGACTTGTGGAAGCAGTCATGGAAAAATCTGAGGTACTGTCCCAGGACACTAGCCTACAAGAATAGCTGTCATGGCTGCTGTTCTCTGAGCTGAGATTTGAACCCAGGATCTCCTCAACACAAAGCAGCAATGTTAGCTGACTGACTGTGATGTCCCATCAACACGACAATGATTAATGGTATTTACAAGTTGAAATGTTCAAGTCAAGGAGGACGAGGTGGGCAGGGCATGCACGAGGGCAAATTGAAAAGTCTTTGTCCCTATTTTTTTCAGTCACAATAATACACATAGAGCGAAATCAAAATACAGGCAGTTTTCTATGTACCTTTGACTATTTTTCCACATAGTCACCACCCTGGTTCTGACATCTGTCCCATCGCACCACTAGTTTGGAGATGCCGCTGTTTTAGAATTCGGCCGGTTGTGCGCGGAACCACCGCCAGACAGCGATTTTTGCGTCATCGTCGGGAATGAACCTCTGGCCTGCCAGGAACTTCTTCAATGGACTGAACACATGGAAGTCACTGGGGGCAAGGTCTGGACTATATGGTGCGTGCTCCATAATCTCCCATCCAAATGACTGCAGTCGGGTGGCGGTCCTGTTTGCCACATGAGGCCTGGCATTGTCATGGAGAACCACATCATTCACGAGAATCCCCTAGCGCGACTGCGGTCATTCAGATGGGAGATTATGGAGCTTGCACCATACAGTCCAGACCTTGCCCCCAGTGATTACGTGTTCGGTCCACTGAAGAAATTCCTGGCAGGCCAGAGGTTCATTTCCGAAGATGCAAAAACTGCTGTCTGGTAGTGGTTCCGCGCTCAACCAGCCAATTTCTACAACAGCAGCATCTCCAAACTAGTGGTGTAATGGGATGCCTGTATTCTGATTTCCCTGTATGTGTATTATTCAGGCTAAAAAAAAATAGGGGCAAAGACTTTTCAATTTGCCTTCATAGCACAAATGGGGCAGAAGAGGAATGCATATATGATATTGGCGGGAAAGCCAGAAGGAAAGAGACTACTGGGAAGACCAAGGCGCAGGTAGGTGGAAAATATTAAAATGGGTCTTAGAGAGGATGGGATGGTATGGAGTGGGTTGATCTGGTTCAGGATAGGGACCAGAAGAGGGCTTTTGTGAAACGGTAATGAGCCTCTGGGTTACATAAAATGCTGGGAAATTCTTGAGTAGCTGCAGATTTGGCTTCTCTTCAAGAAGGGCTCAGCTCCATAAGTGAGTGAGTGAGTGGGTGAGTGAGTGAGTGGGTGGGTGAGTGAGTGAGTGAGTGAGTGGGTGAGTGGGTAAGTGGGTGGGTGGCTGAGTGAGTGAGTGAGTGAGTGAGTGAGTGAGTGGGTGGGTGGGTGGGTGGGTGAGAGTGAGAGTGTGAGTGTGAGTGTGAGTGAGTGAGAGTGAGTGAGTGAGTGTCCAAAGTGCCTATGACAATTTCACTCTCTACTAATCGTCTACATCTACAACATATAGTTAATAAAGATAAGGGCAGCAACAGACATTCAGATTCATGTGACAGCATGTTATGTACACAGTCTCTCAGAAACGCCTCCAGAAAACTGTGTTAGGAACTGAAAAATTAGATGAAAAGAGCCCATGTACTACTCTGTCCAAAAAGTATCCGACCTTGGGCCGGGAAAAAAAAAGAGTTCTGTATCTGGGTGGTTACAATACCTAATCGCCTTCAAAGTAGGCCCCTTGTGACTCCACACACTTAGCCCAGCAATCCTTCCATCGCTGGAAGCAATTCTGCAAGGCTTCTTTTGGAATGGCGTGTAGCTACGCCATTGTGTTCTGTATGATGTCCTTGCGACTGTCAAAACAGCAGCCTTTTAGCGGTGTCTTCAATCTCGGGAACAGCCAGAAATCAGAAGGAACCATGTCAGGAGAGTAGGGAGCCTGGCGAACTTGCGGAATGCCGTGCTTGGCCAGGAAACCATGGATCAGGTGTGGGGCGTTGTCATGATACAGCTGCCAGTTGTGTACGTCCCACAGCTCCGGTCTCTTGCACCGAACTGCATCATGAAGATGTTGGAGGACTTCTTGGTAGTACTCCTTATTGACAGTCTGGCCTAGTGGTGCATACTCATGATGCACAACACCCCAGTAATCGAAAAAAACAGTCAGGATCAACTTCACATTGCTCCAAACCTGTCATGCTCATTTGGGCCTCGGGGATGTTGGATGCTTCCATTGTGATGCCTGGACCTTGGTTTCCGGGTCATATCCTTACACCCACGACTTGTCACTAGTGATCACAGTCTTCAGGAACTCAGGATCCCTGTTGGCGCACTCCAGCATGTCCTGCACGACCTCAAGGCGGAGTTGTTGCTGCTCCGGCGAAAGCAGCTTGTGCACAAATTTTGCCGCCACTCTTCGCATGCCCAAATCCTCAGTTAAAATTGTGTTTGCGGAACCTCTACAGGTCCCAACCTCATCAGCAACTTCACGGATGGCCAAACGACGGTCCTCCATGATCAGTGTCCGCACTTTTTCAATGGAATCAGCATTTCGGCTCGTTGATGGTCTCCCGGAACGCTGCTCACTGTCCGCCGACATACGGCCATGTTTAAAGCGGTTGAACAACTCTTTAATTTGGGTGACCCCCATTGCATCATCGCCAAAAGCCTGCTGAATTTTGCGGATTGTTTCCGCTTGGGTATCCCCAAGTCTCTGACAAAACTTAATGCAGTATCACTGATCCAAGCGTTCTGTCATCTTGAGCAAAACAAGAATGCGACGAACACGTGTTACACCACTTTGTTATCTGGCACCCACAGAGGCATCCGGCAGTGTTGCGAGTCAGCAGAAAATCACACATGCGCATGAAAGTCCCTTCTACCACTATGCTCAGTTTCCCCACCCGTTTGGCAATTACAGCGGAAAAAAATAAAGTTTGATACTTTTTGGACATACGGTATATGTATGTACCTATATATGCAAACACACCTGTTCCACAGTACAGCCTCATTCTGTTTGGGTTTCTCTGATACAAGTTTCACAAGAAATGGAATCTTCAGTTTCCACAATGCTCATGGTTGGGACAATCTCTGAGAATCCCTACATACTAAGGCCCTCCAACCATCAGCATCCATTTTCAGTGAATGTATAGACAAGAGCTGAAGCTGGTGCATCAATCAGCCCGCATCAGTATAGGCATTCATAGGAGCTTTTGCACTTTCAAGCTTTCAAGAAAGAGCTAGTCTCAAGCATTGGATTGTGTAGTCCAGTGATTGAGACTAGCTCTTTCTAACGGGCCCAACTGAGTAGGTTTATCCTTCCCTACCCACCTGAAGACGGAGACAGATCCAGTCTCCAAAACGTCGTGGTCTTTAGTCTTTTACATACCAGATGATGGATGAAGTCCAAAATAAGCCAAAAGAAGTACAATAAATAGTGTCTTCTTGGGCAGCCATATGTGTTAAGATGGAATGGGTTTCTATTGTCTTGGAAACCACTGTCTTAACCATCAAGAATCTGTGATTTACACTGTTTCAGAAACTATTATCAGGGATCCATGATGATCAACAGTGACAGTTACTGAAATGTTGGAAATCCATTCCATCTTGATTTGATTTAAAGTGAGAGCACACCAAGGAACCTGGAAACAACAACTTCCAAGAAATATTATTAAGCCGAGTTGAACACATGGAACTGAACTGAGCAGTGCAAACTGAGGAAACGGCAACGCAATTGCAACACAACTCTTGGAAGACTTATGAAACTCAGCTCCTCCTCCTC